CGAGAGGCGATTTTTATAGCCCGCCCCGCCTGTCTCCGCTCCGATTGGCTCGTGCTGCCCGGCCTCGGAGCCAATCCACGCTGGACAGTGTTCGCGCGTGCCCCTCACCGTGTGGACGGTGAGGCGAGACCGGCTGAGCCGCACGCGCCTCCGCCAATCAGGCAGCCGCATGCGTCAATTCGCCTCTGCCTCTTCACCAATTCGTGGGGCCAATCCACACGCCAGCCTTGCCATCAGCTGATTGCACGAGCCATCGGGTTAAACAAGCCTGTGCGCCCTGTTCAAATTGGCCACGCTTCGGTTGGCCTCGTCTTGCCTTGCCTTGCGTCGTATCGTCTTGCCGATACCGGAAAGAAGACGTTGGGGGTGTGCAACGCGAAGGCTGGTTTACTCGCATTTACGTCACAAAATGACCAGTATCGATAGACACGATCGGTCTATCCGAACCGGCAAAAGAATCCACGAGCACTCTTTCGTCCGAACAGAATTGGTCATCTTCTCGACAGAGTTAATCACTCAAATGCTCCTCCTCAAATAAGTTGGTTGGCTTTTTAAGCAACCACGAGGCTGGAGGCGATTCTTTAGCTCACCAAAAAGAATCTACGGTCTTGAGTTGGCAAGCCGATACTATGCATACTTGGCAGCTATTCACACTAATTGGTTTTAAGGTCATAAAAGTATGTTGATAGCATTTTTCTACAATAGCCTAAATTAACCTTAAGCTTTCAGCAAAGTTCACACAGCCTTGATTTCTCAAAAGCCAGCAGCATTTAAGGTAGAGTGGACTGCAGTCTTAACCTCGCATGAATTGGTCACATTACCACCCCCGGCGGGACTCTATCCATAACATGGTAGCATATAATCTCACACATTGCAACAAGTGCCCTTGGCTCAAAGGGCATATGGAAATTTCAAGAAAGGTCAGGCATTTTCCCATATCACATCATGTAGCGGGATTGTCGATGAAGCAAAGTTATATTTGATGTTAAAGTACATTACTTTTTATGAGAAGAGGGAGGTGGAAGGGATTCTTAATCTGGTCTCATTGAGCATAAATTTCTGAAGTTATGATTGTATACATTCATACATTCATAAATTCATACATTCATACATTCATACATTCATACATTCATACATTCATACAT